TGTTTATTTCATTGGCTGAGTGAGTTTGTCTTTATATGCTTCGTGGGTGAATGGCTTGCCTCACCTGTTTTTGAACCAAATATATTGTGCTTGCTTGATACACTTTACTGGCTCGAAAGATAAGTACACCAAGCTGCTAAACGACATCAGCAAAAAAAAAAGTAATTTTGGTTTAATAACAGGCGATGTATGACTCGCTTTGTTTATGACATTGATCCAGGGATGGCGCAGTGGTGAGAGCGCTCCCCTCCCACCAATGTGGCCCGGTTTGATTCCGAACAAGTGCCATATGTGGGTTGAGGCGTTTGTTGGTTCTCGCCTTGCTTCGAGGGTTTTTCTCCGGGTTCTCCGGTTTCAACTCCAAATTCCAGTTCGACCAGGATATGGGACCCGCATGAAAACCACCTAAGGCTGATGTGGCTCCCTCTCTAACTATTTTAATGTATTTTATTTACCCTCGATCCTCGATTTTCCCGTGTAACAGTCATAAAGTCCATGCAGATCATTTGCCCATCATAACGACCTCACTCTATGGCTTTATGCACTTTTTCAGGTTATGAGCATGTTGTATCCCAAAATAACTGACATGTTCTACTTCGCGGGAGATAAACACTCCACACCCAACTGTCCAGTTGAATTACGACCTGACCTGAACCCGTCCAGCGGTATTCAGAGCTATGACGGAAGTGACCCAATGTGCTTAAAGCCGGCGCATTACAACATTCCCTTCTTCCTGAACAGGTTGGGCCCTAAATTCTCTGAATGGAGTATCAATTCCCACGAGTCGCGGCCGGGACACCACATTCAGGTATCAGTAATATACACATGTAGAAGTGAAATCAGTAAGAGGTTATTGTTTTATACAATGGTTGTCTTGAACGTTGACGATACATGAAATCAAATTTCCCTGAACTGGCAGAATTTCAATCCATTAGACTTGTCGTTTGGGACCCTTGGGGTTAAAGGAGTTACGTCACGGTTTTGTCCATCTTGAAAAGTCTGGCCTAAATTTTTCAAGTCCATAGTTTGTAATCCGTGTTAATCTTCTCCATCCTTAACCATCCTTGTTTCTTGATGAGTTATTATTATCTCTATAGTGTTTTTCTATCTTAGTAGACTATTATTTTTAGGTTTCCTTTAATTTAAAGGTAATTTTGTATTTGGCTAAAATAGCTCAACATATCGTGAATGAGCTCCCTTAACTAAGCCACCCAGACCCTCCCATGTTTATGATGGTTGAAGGTAGGACGTTTCCTTCATTCGTCCCTAGATGTTAAACTGAATGGGTCTTTAAGGCTTCATTAAGAACAACATTTGACAATTGATACCTAAGCCTTTTGTACTCTGGATGTCTAAGGGAGTTCGCCCCACCTCGGGCCGTCTTTTGACGATGCTTAAAAGTCGCCAATCATGCATCATTTGCAGTTTGCTTCTTTTCTGCCTCTCCTGCCATCGTTCTGCTATTAGGTTTTCTTTTGAACTCTATAGAACTAGAGTATATCGTTTTGCAGTTTTGAAATAGCTAGTGCAAGGAGAAGTGCAATGTAGGTAACCCATAGGAAGGTGACGGGTTGCAATCCTGATGGGAGGTCTCCACAGTTCTGTTAAAGAGGTTTGGGTCGCTAACTGATATCCACATATTCCTTTCACATACGTCATGCTCAATGATACGGCCATATAGTTTCAGTTTCTACAATTTTCCATCAATTCAGATCCAAGGAACCAGGGAACATTTTATGGACACTTGTGGAGGCCTAATTGCCTGGTTAGATTCCAAAACATACTACACAGCCTTTTTGGAAGGCTGGGGTCTTTACGCTGAGAATCCTTTAATATCAGATGATACAGATGTTTATGACGGCAAACCAATGAAGAAATACGGCATGCTGAAGTGGCAGGTGAGTGAACTAAAAAATCGGTTTTACAGTGACATTTTTGGTATAAAACAATTTTATATAAATGCTTGGCGTGCTTAGGTTGGACTTGCCATCCTCGTCACTATTTAGACCCCCAAGTTAGTATAAGAGACGGAATGCATCTGTTGGCTCGATATTGGGCTGACATTTATCCTTAAGATGTCAGCAACACACTCAATCAGTAGACGATCGGATGCAAAAAATATGAAGACTGCATTAAAGACGTTACCCGCACTTTATAAAATTAGACTACAGCTATGCTACAGCTCCATAACCCCGCACCATAATTCCCCAGAATGCAGTCTAGCCTTAACTTTCTCGAGAAATGTCAGCCATAAATTTGCTGTCGCGTTTTGCTGTTCTGTATCATTTGGTAGGGAGATTCTTTGATGTCGATTGTAACGGCGCGGTAACGAACTAAACCGCTGTATATGAAGTCCAACGGCAAACCAATTGGTCATTGAGTCTTCTACGCTCTTTGGGCCTGTCACTCAATTTGCGTAACGTGCCCAAGGAGGTTAGGGTAATGGCCGAAAAAGTGAAGTTTCGAAACCCTTAAAACTTGAGAAGAGACATCTATTCGAGATTTTGCTTTTTGTTCTCTACAGATCTGGCGCGCAGTAAGGATGATTGTAGACACAGGGCTTCACTACACTGGAATGAAAAGAGATGAGGCCATCAAAATGTTTGTTGACAATGCATGGGATGACTCTGACTTCACTCGGAAAGAGGTACGAAGTTCTGTTATGTAGTGAGAAAGACGCTGAGAAATACATTGTATTCGTATCCCAACTGAAAAATAACGATCTACCTAAATACATTCAATGACAGGCCTCCCATAAAAATTGGGTGGCGTATGAGGCCCGCGTCTCAAAAACCTTAGCCTATTTAAGACCAAAATCTGCGATTTTCCTTACCCTACTTATAAAATGACCAAAAATTCGATACCTTATTTAAGACCTGACCCTTAAAACAATACCCTGCCTTAATTAGTTCTCTAGTTCAGACCGATGTTAAAGGAATTGCAAAGGGCTTTTATTGATGGTCTTATCGACAATGTTGAAAAAGTACCCTAACCCTAGCCACGAACAATGTATTATCACAAATAAATGTCAACTTTATTGTCGATGAAAAAGTAGCTTACTCCAATGAAACATACGCAATTCAAGACTAGAGTGCAAAACCATACCCTATTTGACACTGAACTGGCCAAATCGATAGCCTATTTCTGGACAAAACAGCTGTAAGACCATACCCTTTGGGGCCGCAGATACCTATATAGCCCATATAAGGGAATACCACCCCCCGGCCCTATCCACTGTTCCCTCTTCATGCAAAGCACTTATAAAACAGCACTTTTAAAATACGTCACGATCATCACTTTTAATGTTGTTCATCTCTGTTGTGACAGGTATCCCGTTACCAGAGCTGGCCAGGTCAATCCACGGCATACATGGTTGGTAGGATAGCAATTTTAAAAGCCAGAAATCACACCACTTCAA